CGGGATTTGTAGTCCGAAGCCCGAGAGCGGCGCATGCGCGGTAACTCGTACGTGGGGCTGCGGGCGGCGGGGCGGTGACCGTGACAGCAGCAGTGTCGGACACAGTGCGGGGACAGTGCAGGAACCCCCCCCAGGGCTGTGCCCGGCGCCCCTCGCCACTGCCTGACCCCGGCTCCACATCCCCATCCCAGGGCCACCTCCCCATCCCAGGGCCAGCTCCACATCCCTGTCCCAGCACCACATCCCAGGGCCAGCGCCACATCCCAGTGCCAGCACCACATCCCAGTGCCAGGTCCCCATCCCAGGGCCAGTGCCACATCCCAGTGCCAGCACCACATCCCAGTGCCAGGTCCCCATCCCAGTGCCAGGTCCCCATCCCAGTGCCAGCGCCACATCCCAGTGCCAGTGCCATATCCCAGTGCCAGCGCCCATCCCTGGGAGGCAGTGCCAGGGAGGACGTGTCCCCACAACACCAGGCCACCAGCAGTCACACAGCAGTACCCACAGCAGGGCACACACCAGCAGTGGGGCCACCGTGAGGGCAGCTCACGCACTCGTGGCCCATGGTTGCTGGGGACAGTGCTGTGTCACCAAGACACAGCACGGCTGGAGCCCAGCAGCTGTCAGGAACATGCTGCTCTGATCCCAGAATCCCACCTGGCACCGTGACGGGCTGCTGGGGGTATTTTAAGAGCTGGAATGGAACCTGCAGCCAGGGGCAGGCAGCTCTGACACCACAGAAGGGCTGTGCAGGATGGCTGCGTGTCCTGACACCGCACACTGAGACCTGCCCTGCTGCCCTGCCCCCAGCACAGACATGCAAATACCCAGTCCTGCCAGCTTGGATGCAGCACAGCCCCAGCCACAGTCCCAGAAAGTTATGGGGACAACAACCACTGCTGAGGCCTGGGTGGACATGTTACTCCCTGGGGTCCCGGGCTGGGGTCCACCCCAGACTTGTCACCCACCTGCCCTGCCACAGCTAGGGGCTTCTCCAGGCGCTGCTGCAGGTTGTGATTCTCTGCTGACAGGGCTTCCACCAGCCGGTTGCTGGCAGCCAGCTCTTGGGTCAGCTCTTCGATCCTCCTGTGAGGGAGAGAAAGGGTGGGGGACACTCAGCACCATCCTCTCCCCTTTCCTGCAGCCCAGCTCTCTCCCCTTGGGGTGAACCCTTCAACACCCCTGGATGTTCACAGTCCCCCACAGCACCAGCCCCTTGTTGTTCCCCAAGGACTGGCACCACAGAGGTCCTGGGCACCCACCTCTGGGCCATGGCACCACAGCTGTCATCTCTCCTGCCCTCCTCCTTTGTCCTTGCAGTCTCCTTCAGCTTCCCCGCCAGCTCCCGGCACCGCTCCACCTCGGCTCTGGCCAGCGCCGTGGCCTGCTCGGCTTCACTCCGTGCCAGGCTGGCCTCCTGTGTGGCAGCAGGGTGAGCCCCGAGGCTCTGCTCCCTGGTCCTCGCAAGTCCCCACTGCCCCCAGCTCACCCTCTGCAGGAGCTGGAATT